GGCTGTGTCGTGCCCACCACGGTTGGCGCCACGAGCGCGGTTGGCAGCACTGTACGCCCCATCATCAGTAGCGGTATCGCGGCCATCGTCGGCTGCTCCGTGACCTCCGAAGTGCCCTTTGAGCCCCCACGTCCGCCAGTCCCGTCGAGGGCACGGGTCCACCATGGGCAGCGTCCGATCGGCCGATGATGCGGTCACACTGGTGCCACTCCCGCCCAAAACAGGTGCAACACCAGCTGATGGTTGCTGCCTCAATTAGAGGGCAACGCTCTTTTTCGGTGCCAGCTCTAAAGGATTGTGCTGCCTACAGACACTGTAAGGGACGAAAAGCATAAGTCACGACGAAATCTGACTAAAACAGGAAAAAACAGAGGAACTGACAACTCACCTCGGCACCATCGGGCGGCAGATGCATTTGGGGGGCGAACCCCCCGACCTTTGCTTTGCCTCATCGGAACGAGGCCATTTCAAGCCCACCCCCTGCTCCTGGGCAGAGGGGCTCGCTCCCCTTAGCTCTTGGGGCACGACGGTGGAGCCACCCACCTCCGCTGGCACCTCGGGCGTAGCGGCAGAGCCGTCCGCCTCTGTTGGCTATTGGGGCAGGTCAACGGTATGGCCCGTCTCCGTCGGCTCCCCAGATGTACCCACCCCTCCGTGGAACGGGAGGGGTCCCAATGCCTACAAGGACGAACCGATACCTGTCAGCGCATCCTTGTTCTCCAGGTCGTCCCACTCAATGTCGTCGGCTACCTCATCATCGGTGTCATCAACATCATCATCACTATTAGTGTCCTCCCCTCATTCCCGCGCCTGCAGCTTCTGTTGTTTCTTCCTCTTCCTGTCCTCCTTCGCCTTCCTCAGCCACTCACCCTCAGCGTGATTCGCCGTCCTCATGGCCGAATGCCTCGGCAACGGCGCCGGGTGATCCGTGAGGATGAGATCCCTCTGCTAGCCCTGTCCTTCTCAAAGTTAGTATCAAGGGGTTAGGAAATCAATTGAAGAGAAGGCAAGAGAGGGGGAAACTTATGAAGACAACGTGGCCTGGTTCTGGCCGCATCGGAGGATGTCACGGCACTGGGAAGACGAAATCGAGGGGGGCACCCGCATCATCCCGCGAGGGCTCCATTGCCTCCTTGATGCGTTGCGCGATCTCGAAGTTGGGAAGCACCCCCTCGGCGAGTGTTGTTTCGTCGAACGACGCCTCGGGCGCCATCGCGTATAATGGGAGCGCACGCATCATCAATAACGCCACCCTCCTTGCGTGGTAGGCCCCGATGACATTTGACCCCTTCAGGCCATCCTCCTTTAGGATGTGGATGGCGACGATGTGGTCTCGGATCTTCTTCTTGTCCTTCTCCGGGATGCCCCACTTCCTCCACGACTCCGGGGCCTCTTCGATCAGGCGCCCGGTGAACTCCGGTAGAGGGACAGCGGCGTCGTTCTTGAGGTTGAACCACTGCGAGTGCCACCCCTTGTTGGACGTTGAGAGCCGCATGGGCGGGTACTCGCCAACCCAATTGTTCTGGAGCTAGATGCCGGTGCACCCCATCCACATATGTAGCTCCTGCCTGCCACTCTTCTCCCTCTTCTTCTAGAGTGTGACAGCAAAGAAGTACCTCCACAGATCGAAGTGGGGGCAAATCCCCAGGAACCCCTCGCACATGGTGATGAACGTCGCCATGTGCAGGATCCCATTGGGGTTGAGATGTTGTAGCTCGATCTTGTAATAGTGCAGTAGTCCCCAAAGAAATTTGTGGGCGGGGGTCACTAACCCATGCTCATGGAAGTGGGCAAACGACACCACATAGTCGTCGGGTGGCGACGGTAGATCCTCCTCATCTGGTAGCAGCCACTCCTCGGCCGAGGTCCATGCACGGAGAAGACCACGATGGACGAGGCCTTCCATGCGCTGGAAGGTGATGTCGGAGCGGCACCACGGATCCATTAGAGGTAGGGGCAAACAGATGCGGGCTCGACGACGACGGGAATGCGGAGGCAGGAAACCTAAGCGATTGGCGGCGGCGGTCGTGGCTGCGGAGGCAAGGATGCAAGGTATGGAACCCGGGGGGTGAACCCTTTGGTTTTATAGGGGCGACGGGTGCGAGGAAACCAACCGCTCGCCTAGATCTCCGCGCCTGCCACGATCTACCACCACGTCTCGCCATAGGACGCACGCACGCAATCTCTGTCTGTTTCCTCAGAAAACTCGCCGGATGTTTTGCCTCTTTGGACAGGCCACGACCTGTCACAGGTAAGGGATATGGAGCTAAAAACTCTACTGCGGTCCGTCTGAACCCAGGAGTTTGAAGGTTGGCCCACCGACGGGATCGACAACCGCTTCAGGCACCTTTTTGAAGTGAGGGGTGGAAAGGGATGGGCCCGCTAGCGGCCAGTACCCGGGCGCATGAGCGTCATAGGCATCTCGGCAAACGTTCGAGTCTCGGCCGGATACGATCCATGTTTTTTCCTCGAAAGAAAGGCAGAGGGCCCTCGGGATCGGTTGAACGGACCCAAGAACTATATGGATTGACCGCTGAGGGTCTGGAGTCGGTCACTAGTTGACCCAAGCCGGATCCCCATGAATGGGATGCCAGGGCCCCACTTGGACTAGCCACCTAACAACTCACCGAGCACCATGGCTCGTCCATAGAGGAAAATCACGGCACTGCTCAACCCCTCCAGTTGCAAAAACCGTGGACAGGGTGACGATCACAAAGACGAGCCAACCCTCGACCGGACCCCCGCTACGCGCGGGCGTTCAAGGAAAGTTGGGCTCGCAAGGAGACTGAACGCATGGTCGTAGAACGACAGACCCCCGAAGGGGTCGAAATCAGGGAAGGACCTTTTCCGACCCACCAAACCTCACGGCTATACCCCCGAGGGGTCCGATCTCGACGAAAGGGAATCACCGTCCCCAGGTCACGCTGTGGGCGACAAAAGAAGGTCAAGGCCATCAGAGTCCAACCGCTCGGAAAAACCTCCGAAGGAGTTTTCTACTCCTCCGCAGGCTCGGGGGCTACTGTCAGGGACCAATACTAGGGTACCCGAAGAGGAGGAGCTAATGACCATCAACGTTGACTCATCCGAGCAGTCAAGAGCGTGACTACAGCTCCAACCGACCCCCCGGCGCGCAAGCTTCGCTTCGCCCAGCCTCTGGGAGAGGGCACCACCCCGCCCGACCTTTGGGTCTGCGCTCTGCCTCGCCCGACCCTTGGGTCTGCGCTCCGCCTCGCCCGACCCTTGGGTTTGCGCTCTCCCTCGCCCGACCCTTGGGTTTGAGCTTTGCCTCGCCCGGCCTCTAGGGAGGACTCTGCCTCGCCCGACCCCGAGGCCGCGGGCTCCACTTCGCCCGACCCTTGGGTCTACGCTCCGCCTCGCCCAACCCATGGGTCTGCGCTCCGCCTCGCCCGACCCTTGGGTTTGCGCTTCACCTCGCCTGGCCTCTAGGGGAGGACTCAGCCTCGCCAGACCCCGAGGCCGCGGGCTCCGCCTCGTCCGACACTTGGGTCTGCGCTCCGCCTCGCCTGACCCTTGGGATTGCGCTCAGCCTCGCCCGACCCTCGGGTTTGCACTCCGCCTCGCCCAACGGAGACCCATACCACTGCCATCCACTCCAGGTCCAAGCGTATGGGCCTGAGTCAAAGCTCTGACACCAGGGAAGAGATCGGCACGCCCTGATGTAACCTGTGGCTTTGACGAGCCATACCGAAGGATTCACATCAAGAACAGCGTCGGGCGTACCGGTGTTGTTCTGCCTAACCCCCGTACGAACACTGACGGTCGCGTCAGTTCACCACGACGTCCGCCAGGACGGAGTGGAGCTCCATGATCTGGATATGACGCCTGCGCATGGCGCTCGTGATGGACAGGACCGCGACGCGAAGCCGTCCCTGTTGATGTCTACAGGGTCGGCGGGACCCGTATGAAGGAGAAGAAGGACCCGGCGATCCTGCTGGCCTTCGGCTCTCTCTCTCTCTCGTTCTTCTTTCTCCTCAGCTGCAACCCATGCTTTCCCTTGGCCTATAAAAGGGAAAGCAGGGCGTTCCATAAGGGACATCGCAACACATCAGATCAATTCGAGCTAGATCCGAACAAACCCATCGAACCCCGAACACACGGCTGAGCAGCAACCGAGCTCCCTCAGCACCCGTTTACTCCTTTCACCAAAGACTTGGGACATGTCCCTCTCTCGCCCATTTGTAACCACTACTACGAACTTTTAGTGCTATTAACACGAGCGGCAGTAACGAACTAGACGTAAGGACATTCTGTCTGAACCAATATAAACCTCGTGTCCTCTAAACACACCGTCTGAGCCAGACGCGCAATATTAGAAATTTACTCGTGGCTGGCAACTCGAAACATCGACACTTACTACGGCAAATGTGGTAGGGTGAGCGTGTTCATATGTGTAGGGTGATTATACGTGTATGAGCGTCTATGACTATAGTGGGTCTTGTAAATAAAAAATAAAAAAAGTGGGAATAACAACATTTGGTCTACCTCAATCACGCTGATCGAATTGGCAGTTGGAAAGGACGAGGAAGCCACGGGCCAGTGCGCCCGGCCGGCGGCCGTCTATAAATCCCATGCAACCTCCGTTCCAACGAGCCACCATATCGCTTGATTTCGACCAGCCTCGATCGAACGAAATAACTACCTACGGCCAGCTGCCACGCTTTTGGAAAGACGCACGCAACAAACAACAGCTTGAATTTGAAAGCCAAGCTGCCGGAGGAGAGAGAGAGAGAGTCGTGTGTATTATTCATTCATCGATGGCGAGGCTTAGGCTGGTCTTGTTTGTCGCCGTCGTCGTGTCCGCGGCGCTCACGCCGCCGTCCGCCGTCGCGCAGCTGAGGACGGACTACTACGCCAGCACCTGCCCCAACCTCGAGACCATCGTCCGGGGCTCCGTCAGGCAGTCCATGGCGCAGTCCCAGATCGCCGCGCCCGCCGCGCTCAGGCTCTTCTTCCACGACTGCGCCGTCATGGTAACGCACATGCTACTTATCCCGGCCAGCTGCTGGCTCCCCGCTAGCAGTGCATGCAGCCGATCGATCGCCGTCTCTGATGCATGGGAACTGCGGATGCAGGGCTGCGACGCGTCGATCATGATCGTGAACTCGAACGGCGACGACGAGTGGCGGAACACCGCCAACCAGTCGCTCAAGCCGGATGGGTTCCAGGCCATTCTGAGCGCCAAGGCCGCCGTGGACAGCAACCAGCAGTGCCAATACAAGGTGTCGTGCGCGGACATCATGGCCCTCGCCGCCAGAGAAGCCGTCTACCTGGTATGTGCTATTCGTCAGCCTCCATGCTGTCAGTCGTTCGTTGCTACTTGGTCGTTCAAAAAGAATAAAATCTTGTCATCAGTTACATACATGCTGTGCATGCAACATACTCTAACTTTTCTGCATGCATCGGTTGCAGAGTGGCGGGCCGTACTACCAGGTGGAGCTCGGCCGGTTCGACGGCAGGGTGTCGACCAGGGACAGCGTCCGGCTGCCGGGTGTCAACTTCACCCTGGACCAGCTCAACGCCTTCTTCTCCGGCCTCGGCTTCTCCCAGGCTGAAACGATCGCCCTCTTAGGTAAACGGCACCGCCTGCTGCTCATCCATCATCTCACCGGCCTTGCAATAGTTGTCAGGCTCACCCTGACGGCCTGACCGTGCCAATCCACCAGGTGCGCACACCCTCGGCGCGGCGGACTGCCCCTTCTTCCAGTACAGGATCGGCAGCGACCCGAGCATGGACCAGGGCCTGGCGTCGCAGCTGCGTGGCACCTGCGGCTCCAACCCCAGCGGCGGCTTCGCGTTCTTCGACCCCACGCCGGTGAGCTTCGACAACGCCTTCTACCGGAACCTGCAGGGAGGCAGGGGGCTCCTGGGCACCGACCAGGTGTTGTACAGCGACCAGAGGTCCCGCGGCGCCGTTGACAACTACGCGTCCAACCAGGGCGCCTTCTTCGCCGACTTCGTGGCGGCAATCACCAAGCTCGGCAGGATCGGGGCCAAGACGGCGGCCACCGGCGAGATACGCCGCGACTGCCGGTTCCCGAACTAGCGAGCAGCTGTGTAGTTAGTTGGTTAGCCTGGCTGACCGATTCACATCATTTGATGATACATATATATATATATGTACTATATATACTCCGTATTACAGTATATACTATATGTAAGAGTATATATATAAGTCTATCACGGCTGTAATTATAATAAGTTGATGGCGTTGATTCAGTGGCCTCATGTCGGTCTATGGAGGTATCGCCGGACAGCTTTTTGTGCCAAAGAGTTTTTTCTGAGATATATTGGCTGCTTGAAAATTCTTTTCAGGCTACTTGAAGAATATGCTACCTAAGAATTTGTTTGGATGTACTCGTATCTATATCGATCTACGTGTGTTAGGGTAGATTAGGATAAAAATTAATTTTTTTTCAAGAACGTGTGCTGCACGTATTTCATTAAGTAGAAGCACAGAGTATAGGAACAAGCAAGACCGCAAGCTGCCAGGCAGACCCTGAGAACGCAACACGAAAGATACAACACACCAAGAATACCGGAATTAGTGCTTATGAGGGTAAAAGTTAAACTAAAATTTACTCTAAGCAACTTCAACATACATGGATTCATAAGATGGATAATACAGGTGCATCTAAATAAGACCAAAAGATGTTGGGTAGCCATGCATCTGGCAAACAGTTCTCCGAGGAGAGTGTACATTCCAACCCCCAAGTGTCTAAAAACTTTGAATGTCCTAGAGCTGATCAGTGGTGGAGGATGGATACAAATTAAAGTGTAGCACAACTAAACCAATAGAGCTCGATCTGTAAGGCTCGATTCATGGTGGAGACATAAGGGAAAACGCACATTAGAGAAAATCAGGATGTAGAAGCTGAGAAAATGATGCACCAAAACGAAAGTATGGCAGAGGCCCTACCTAGCAATAGCATTGAGTGCTCCACTGGAGCTGATGATGTCTTGTTTGGTTAGTAAATAATGCATAATATTGCATTATTAGACCCTTTTTGAGTTTGGTCTATAGTTTTACCATTTTCTACTTTAGAAGAGAGAGAGAGAGAAGTTTCAAGTCTTCGTGATGTTGCAAGGTGACCAACACTACCGGAGACCGGCTCTTTGCCGAGTTTCAAGTGGTTTGTCGAGTGTTGTTTTTCGGTCACTTGGCAAAGACGCCTTTGCCGAGCGTTTTTTTGACACTCAGCAAAGAAGCTTCTTTGCCGAGTGTTTTTTTTTGACACTCGGCAAAGAAGCTCTTTGCCGAGTGCTTTTTTTTACACTCAGCAAAGAAAATTTCAAAGCACATTTTGAAGCAGTAAAATAATTCAAATGAAAAAGTTTTCAACTACAAAGTTGTATAACTCATCAAGATGTACAATGTTTGTTTTGGTCTTTTCTTCATATGACAAAGTAAAAATAAATTTGTTCACAAATCTAACATATCTCTCTCGTAGTTTACGAAACTACAAGAGAGATATATAAGATTTGTGAATAATGTTAGAACGACTATGTCGGATGAACAGATGACCAAACAACCAATATAAACTTTGTAGATCTCGAAAAGTTATGAAACTTTGTAATTGACAGCTTTTTGATTTGAAATCATCTTGTCATGCAAAACTGTGTTTAAATTTCAAAATTTTAAAATTCGAACTTTTCAAACGACCTCGAATTGAAAAACAACCAAAATAAACATTGTAGATCTTGAAAAGTTATGAAACATTGTAGTTGGCAACTTTTTGATTTGAAATCATCTTGTCATGCAAAACTGTGTTTGAATTTCAAAATTTTAAAATTCGAACTTTTCAAACGACCTCGGATGGAAAAACAACCAAAATAAACTTTGTAAATCTCGAAAAGTTATGAAACATTGTAGTTGGTAACTTTTTGATTTGAAATCATCTTGTCATACAAAACTGCATTTGAATTTCAAAATTTTGAAATTCAAATTTTGTAAAGATGGAAAAACTTACTAAACTAAAAGTGTAGATCTCGAAAAGTTATGAAACTTTGTAGTTTACAACTTTTTTATTGAATTCGTTTAGGGCCTCAAACAAGCAATTTACACTCGGTTTAGTATAATATATTGGGAACTAAAACGAAATCCATACACAAGTGAAAGTGTGGTGTAGTGGTAGAGGAGGTTCGTGCGCAGGGGGAGATTGCGGGTTCGAATCCTGTCGGCTGCGTATACGCGAATTTTATGCGAAAAATGCCGAAGATGGGTGGGCGCTGGCCGGTGGGGGCCTCCACCAATTAAAAAAATCATTTTTTTGGGTAAAAATTCCCATTTTTTTAGGTTTTTTTCGGTTCCAACTTTGCCGAGTGCCCGAGAAAAGACACTCGGCAAAGACGCCTTTACCGACGCATTTTTTGCCGAGTGGTCTTTACCGAGTGCAAATTGGGCTTTGCCGAGTGCCCCTGACACTCGGCAAAGCCACTGAGTCCGGTAGTGCAAGTCAATAGTCAAGCAAGCGTCAATAGTCATGCAAGTGTACCACTCTCTCAAGTTGGTGAAGAAAACAACTATCTAAGAGAGTTATGCTATCAAAGCGGCTAGGATAGAACCAATGTGTCTTAGGAATTTAGTTTGTACAATCCTCGTACCAACGCCCAGAGGCGCAACTAGTGAATGGTCCCTGTAAACAACTTGCGTCAATGATTTAATTGGTGATTTATCAATTATATATTTGGTATAATAGTTCTACCATTTTCTACTATAGAAAGAAAGAGAAGTTTTAAGTCTTCGTGAGGTTGCAAGGTAGCCATGCCAATCGTCATGCAAGTGTACCACCCTCTCAAGTTGGTGTATTCATTACTCCGTTCGTCCAAAATAGATGACATTATAAGATTCAAATTATGTTTAAATTACTTGACCTTATTGTATTTCAATACACCTTCCTCTTTTCCAATATACATTTCTCTTTTTCCAATGCATCTCTCTATATCTCTTACCTTATAGTTTTTTATGCACTGCACCTTTTTCACTTCTCAAAAATTTGCATGTACAGGCCTAAAACAGTCATCTATTTTGGGACAAAGGGAGTAGAAAACAAGCAGGTTGACATGGCAATCCAAGAGAGACTTGTGTTACCAAAGTGGCTGCAATAGAATCAGTGTATCTAAAGAATTTACTTTGTACAATCATCGTACCAACGCCTAGTGGCACAACTAGTGAGTAGACCATCTTTTTAGAAATTGGAAGAAACTTCGCGCCTCTACGTGTCCGCATTCAACGCTTACATTATTAATTACATAGTTTCAGAGGTATTTGTTGATGAATAAGGAAAACAAGAAAAACAAAAATTGTACATAATCGAGTATTATTAAATTTCCATCCGTGAGAGGTGAATAGCTTCAACGCAGTGGTCTCTAATTTTTTGCTCACTAACCGAAAAGACTCAATTGTTTCATCATCATGATGCAACAATAATGCAACTACCTGAACCATAATATATTTGCAATTTTTAAAGATTAGATCATTTCGACATCTCCAAATTGTCCAACATAATGTAGCTACCTGAACCATAATATATTTCTTCTCTTTTAAATCAAAATTTGATAGCCAACTCCCTAAGCTAGGAGGGGTTAACTCAGTAGCTATATGAACAGTCCTCCAGATTGTCTTGGCATGATGACAATCAAAGAAAAGATGTTTAATGGTTTCGTTACAGCAATTAAAAAAACAACACTTTTGACTGTTTATTAGGTTGTCCTTTGTTAAATTTACCCTCCATTGGAGATATCAAAGAAAAATCTTGATTTTTAGAGAAATTTTTACATCTAAATCAACTTGAGTAGTCCCTGTAAACTACCTACCTCAATGATTTAATTGTTGATCTATTAATTAATCCATGTCCCAGAATATAAGTCATGGTGTCGGTGTTTTGTAGACCGACTAGTAAATTTATACGATTGTCGCACTGCTCAAGAAAAACGATGGTAGCATCCAAAAGACACGAGGATTTATACTGGTTCAGGCCGGAGCCCTATATCCAGTCTCAGAGATGATCGAGTGCGTCTTCTTCGCTTGAATGCTCTAAAGTTCTTACAATGGGGGTACAAGAACGGTGGAAGACGTAGGAGAGTGAAGCTAAAGCTAGAGCATGGACTGCCCGAATGAGAGTTTCGAGAGCCTGATGCCTTGGAAGGGTGCTCTGGCTGCCCTTATATAGAATCCGAGGCCAGGTCACATACAAAGAAGGAGGTTCTCCTGACCGAGGGGTCGTGAGCCTTAGGGAGGGAACCTTAGCTAACTTTGCTTGCAAGAAACGCCGTCTTGACTTGGTGTAGCGCACGTCCGGGCATGGTTGTCGTCATGGTCTTGTGCCCACGTCGCGGCATAGTGTGGCGTGGTGCTACTGTGCCGGTTGTGGCGGCACTGTAGGCACGATGGTGATTCGCCAGCCATCCTGCGCGACGTAGTTTCACCGTGGCCTTCGTCATCGCCTCCTGATCTTCCGGGGGCATCATACGGGAGTTGGTAGCCGCCCCATGGTCGTTGGCCGTCTTGGTCCTTATGGAGCTAGTGGCCACGATCTCGAGCTCCGAGGTCGTGACCTTCGTTGGCTTGGATGGCCTCAAAGTCAAGGCCGTTGTCGTGAACCCCATCCCGTAGTGGGTAGGGTCATACACCCGTCTCATCGGGCCGT